AAGTCACAGTCTTGAGTGCATCCCTCCAGCAATAACTAAAGTTTCTCCTGTGATGTAAGATGCTTGATCAGATGAAAGAAAGGACACTGCTCCACCAATATCTTCTGATTCACCCAATCTAAAAGTGAAAAACCAAAAAATGTTTTGCATACAGCAAAAAAGATACCCCCTATCAAGACTGTGTTCTAAGAAAAATTATGAGGAACCCAAAGGTTCCTAACCATGAAATCCTGGGTGCTCAGCACTTAAACTTATACGAAAAAAGTACGTTTTTCCAGTTACCCAAAGGCAATGGCACCTGGGCACTTCTAGAGCACTGCCAGCCCTGCCCTATGCATGTGTAATCATAGCAGCCTGAAAAAAACTTGCATACTTGAGCACAATTTATGTTAAATAATGAGAATCAAACAAATACCCAGTTACAGAAGTTGTGATCATCAAGACATGACAAGTTATCATTGACAGTGAACTTAAATGTTTATTGAGGTTCAGGAATATGAAATACGAGTAAAGACAATCTGGTCTTCATGGCTTCTTATAAAAGAGAGAAAAAAAGGAGCAAAATTATCAGAGTATAAAAGTAGTTTTAAATGGTTTCTTGCCTTCCTATTGGAATCTGAGTAAGTGCTTGTTCATGTAATGCTTCATTTTTCCAAAGCTAAAAAAAGACATCCTTAATTAGTACAACATGGAAATTCATGTTTATGAAATAAGTATTTCAGTATTATACACTGATTGCTAGTTGGTCTAACAGACACTACCCTTAAAATAAATGCTCATGTTAGAATTAATCCTTTTTACATTCACATGCAGTGGAAAACATCCTAAGATGAGAATAATTGAGCTAACATCACTATGTTCCTCTGGAATTTGTCAAATTTTGTACAATGTACATGGTGGATATTTTTGGAAATGACCAAGCTTATTAATAATGGGCCCTTATGCAGCTGGGGTCACGCAACCAAAGTTTTCCTAAAAATATTATATATTATGGGCTATAACTTAAAGGAATGCCAGAAATGAAAGCAGCATATCGAAAATACCAAAATGGCCAAGTTTGAGGCTCCTGGCATATATTAAAGAGCAAGTTTGTTCATCAGTTTGAATTTTTGGAAAATTTAGAGGATATTTATGGAAATTGTTGCTGGAGAGCAAGGTCTTGCTCTCCAGCAACTTTTTCCATACAAATCTTCTTAGTTTTTTAAAAATTCAAACTGTCATAAAATCTCATTCTTTCATGCCAGGGGCCTCAAACTTAGCCATTTTGATATTTTTGACATGCTTTTTCCATTTCTGGCATTCTTTAAGGTGCAACCCATACTTTTATGAAAAGTAGGTCACGGTATGGCCTAGCTACAAAGGGCCTATATTTATATATTAATTCCTTTTGCAGCCAAAATAACATTTCTTTTCACTTACTGCTCCACTGAATTTTGTCTTGATGATACCTGGTGCCACACAGTTCACCCTGACACCCTTAGGAGAGCATTCACTGGCTAAAACCTTTGTCAAACCTAGTAGAGCAGTCTTGCTTACGCAATAAGCACCTAGGCCCTAAGATCAATTAAAAATAAAAAAAAATCATTTAAGTTAAGAGATTTACACAAATTGATTGAGGTTTAAGGGAGGACTCAGCCAAGTATGCTGCTATCACCCTGGAAATGCTGCTATTCGTGACTGGTCAACAAGTGTCTAGTTCCTTCTGTCACATGTGCCAGTCCAACAAACATATTTGTAATTTGTCATCATATTAAATAGGAAATGATCATCAGCCTACATAAACATACATCCCATATTATAACATGTCAAGAAAAAATGCTAAAATTGCAGTCAGGGATGGACTGTCATCAGTAAAATCACAATTGTACATTTGAAGTCATCTTGACACCAACCTGAATCAAAAGCTAAAACTTACATTTGCTTATAGCGACTTATAGAAAGACGTTTCAGTCAAACATTTTAGGCATTCGTCGGTTTAAAAAACCAACTGAAATTACTTGCTGTCTAAAGGTTCATAACTTTGCTGTGCTAATACCAGCAAAATGTAACAAAGGAATACTGTGCAAAATAAATTAAATATTTGGAATGTGAGTTCTGGTTGCAACCCTAAGTGTGACAAAAATTGTTAGTATTGGAAATAATTTGTTACAAAAATTGCACAAAATATTGCTTGTGTCAATGGGCCTTGGCATGACAATCTATTGCTCCTAACTTGGTAAAAAATAAAATAGTTAAGTCTAGTGATAAGTGTGAAGTAATATGTACCTGCATTGCTGGTTGAAGACCGCCTATTGATGAAATGAAGACCACAGATCCACCCCTAAAACAGTCAAGTGAAAGAACAGAAAAATGAACTTGATGGTCACCACAAAGCCTGCCTTAATATGGATGTTAACGGTTCTGGTGCTTTTCTTACATGAAATAAAAACATCAAATGTTTGATTCTCTGGCTAGAAACGAGGAAGTTATTTTTTAAACAAATGTTTAAAAATTTTAAAATAACTAATCAAAACTATACCCTCTTTTTTCCATCAGTGGAATCACATCCTTTGCCAGAAGGAAGGCTGATTTCAAATTG